AGTTCTTTAACAGATATTAATTAAGGTTATTTCCTTCTTAGTCAATTTCTCTGATTCATATGGTATCCATTAAGAAAAGAGAGCAAAAGTGTGAGGAAGGAAAGAAATAAGGCAGATAATAATTGTGTCTCAGACAAAAGTTAGGTATGGTTGCTGGCACAAGGATTGGTTGAGTGTAAATAGACTGAGAACTTACTTACTTTTGCAACAATTTTACTTCCAAAGAAATCAAAAAACATATCTAAAAGAACCCACACTATAAAGCAATCACATGACCCCCAAATATGTACCAGCAGGGGAAGGACTATAAAAAATTACGTGTCTACCAACAATGGTAAACTCCCCCAAACCTACTTGAGATATTGCAATGTAGAACAGTGGATAAGAGAGTTTTTCAAAGAGACAAGTATCAGAATCTAATCAGGGAAGCTCCCTCACTGCTAGGCCAGTTTGTCTTTAGAGTTCCTGACCGACAATAATCAGTGCTATGGACCAGTGAGCACTCTGTATCTTTCACTCTTTCATTTCTTAATGGAGATATTTACTGAAGTTTTTCTGTTTCTATTGCATATTGGAGATTTGGGGGAGACAGATTACTTTTAATTCAATGAGAGTTTGACAGATTTGGGCTGAGTACAGTAACCAGGTAGAGCACTGGCCTACTGCCTTGGGGAGGGAGTGAGCGTATTCCAATTATGAGAGGGAATGTGTATACAGATATTTGGTGGCCAGAGAAGCAAACAGAGATAACTAACTGCCTTCCAAAGATCTGTGCCCTGCCCTCCATTGGATAAATTTGTTGTTGAGAAACAGTTGCCAATCTAGGGACTATATTTCTCAGACTGTCTTGCATGTAGACAGATATTTGTGACTTGTTTTTACCAATGTAATATGAGTGAAAGTGATCTGTGTGACTACTGTACCATCATCTCTTTCCTCATTTGCCAGCTGCACATAGGGCAATCCAGAGCCCACAGGTATGGAGAAGTCATAGACATGGAGCTTGGACCTTTCTTGGAAGAAACTACCCACCTACCATGAACAACTGCTCTGGACTCTTAGGTGAGAGTGAAACAAACTTATAATTTATTAAGTGATGGAAACACTGTGTTTTATTTGATAAAACAACTAGCTTTGCCTTATCTAGAGATGTATCAATATTATCCCTATTGTACAGATGAGGAAATAGAGTTCAGAGGATTATAAAATTTTTCCAAAGGCATATGGCTATTTGACGGTGAATCAAGGATTATCATCCAGGCTGTCTCAATCTGGAGCCTCTGGTTTTACCCAGGAGCTTATTAGCCTCCTGGGAAACGGAAATGGTAAGAACAAGGATAATGACAACAATACTGGCCTCTTTTTGAAGTTACTTCATGCTGTAGTAGAAGGCCACCCACAAGTTAAGTAGAAGGCAGTAAACAAAAGCAGTCAGAAAACTTCACCAGCTTTTTGAGAGCCACTAGTTTCCAAGGACCCAGTTAAAAAGCCACAAATTAATATTAGAACCCAAACATCTCCACTAGAGATGGAGTTGGGGGGCTTCTTGATGACATGCTCATTCATTCATTCATTCATTCATTCAGCAAACATCAATGGAGAGCCTACTATGTCCTAGGGTCTGTTAAAATAAAACAAAGTAAAATTATCATAGAGTTTACATTCTAAATGTGAGAAGATAGACAGTAAATTAAATAAGTAAACTATTCCAGGTGTCACGTGATGGTAAGTATTGTGGAGAACAATGAAGTAGGGAAGAAATAAGGTAGAGCAGTTCAGATACGATGTTCCTTTTCTGCAGTCTGGAGAAATAAGGGTTACTGTTTCTGTTTGACTCACCACACTTCCCAGAACCTGAGATGAAACACTCCCACAAAGTTTAAGTTGATTTTAGCTACCCCTATCACTTATTTGTTTTATGTCCCTGAAAATTATTAACTTTGCAAGGTGATATTTTGCAAGGGCTTGTCTCAGCCTGCATCCTCCTCCCCCAACCCTGTTGTGGCAACTGTCTTATCGGCTTTCCACCTCGCTACTGTCCAAATAACAGGTCTGCTCTTTGCTGATTGAGCCGCCTACATGAACAGCTCTGTCTGATGTCACTCTACTTATTATTTCTTAGTATTTTCCTATATTTTTCAAGGATCCTGACTAGCATTACAAGCGTGAGTTTTGGAGTCAGAGTTATATGAGTTCAAACCATGGTTGACTACTCACTGGCCACAGGAACTTTGGCAAATTAATGCCTGAGTAGCATAAAATAGATATACTGCCAGGGAAGCATTCTGAAGCCATTACCTGGATGAAGTGAGTGGCACCAGAATGTAAATCAGTGCAACTCTTCTCAGGCAGAACATTCAAGGGTTCAAATCTGCCAAGAATTAAAATCCGAACACAGCACTGAGCAATGAATCCCAACTGATGAGGAACTAATAAAAAGAAAAGAGTGTATTAAATGGAGAGTGGAGAAAGGATGTCATAAATACTAAAGATGACCTCAAGATCAGCTACAGAACTGAGGATTTTGGCCTTTACCAATGTATCCTTTCTTTCTGGTCATAGCTGTATGCCTATATATAACTTAACTAATACGTATTCTATTTCTTCCTAATCTGTACATTAACTGTGATATGGTGGCTAAATTAATTACACAGGTTGAAGAATATGGAACACAATCACAGTGAATCTAGATGAGGTCTCAGTAGTACTCACAGATTCTGGAACTGGAACTCAATGAAGTGACTGCTGTGGTATTGATAAGTGACATTTGTTTTCAATTGTACGTGAAATAATTGTATCTTTTTATAGAGAAGCATTTTTGGAAGAAAGGCTATAGAGAAAGGTGTGTAGATACAGGATAGTCAAAAGCACAGATTCTGGTAGATATATATTTCTCTTTGGCAACCCAAACATCAATTTTACCCTTTCTAATGTTGCTCCAGTTTCCTTTTGAAGAACTATTCCTTGCCCTTTATATTAAATCCACTTACATAAATTACACTGCTCTTCTCTTAACAAGAGGTGGTGCACAGCCTAAATTAAGATAATTTAATGCTCTGTGGTTAAATTTTGAATCTTAATCATCGGAATAAAAAGACTAGAAAGTGTCTGAAGTAAAGTGTCAATGTCCTAATAGACCAATTCTTCTTACACCATTTTTTCTTATTCCTAGCCCAGTTCTCCTGTTTCTCATTGGTCCTCTGAATCCTCAATGTCATTATAATAAATTTGCTCTTGCTTATATTTGCCTGAGTCATTTTCTATTTTTGTTAACTTTTCAACAGTTTCAGTAGAAAGACCATGAGTACTAAATTAAGAGCATGAATTTGAATTCTGGCTTCATCATTTATTTATTCTTTCTGGGTCTCAGTTTCCTTATCTGTGAAAAGGAAGTAAAAAAAAATAGTACCTACATCATGAGAGTTATTGAGTATTAAGTGCCCAATAAGTATTAACTTTTAGTATTATGTAACAATAACTAATTTTTTTTTAAATTAAGTATTACTCTTTACTTCTTCACTGCTATGTTACAAAGAAGAGTCCCCTATTACATTAGCAGCACCAAGACATGGACTTTTATTGTGTTGATTGACACAGTCAGTAGACCTGCAGAACAGAAAGACACTATAAAGGTTAGTTTAGTTTACATAGAAAAGGGCCAGGTGCTACTCATAGGAAAAAGGTGAATAATAAAATAGATTTTCAATTAGTTTCAGCTATTGGCCTAGAGTCTTTTTACTATAATATTATAGTGTAAATGACCAGAGACAACCAGCTTTACTTTGTATTAATTGAAATAAATTAGGGGGATGCCCTGCAGCATGTGGAAGTTACAGTGCTGGATCCCACATGACCAACTATGTGATTAAGAGTCTTGGACCCCATGGCTTGAAAATTACACCAGTTTTGGAAGCATGTGTGTCCAAATCCCAATAGGAAACTGGAGGAGAAGTGATCACAGTGTGACCATCCCCACTGAAAGAGGGGTGATTTCTCACTTTCTCTCTCTTTCCTCTCTCTCTCTCTCTCTCTCTCTCTCTCTCTCTCTGACAAGCACACATACTTGCTCTATAGCAAGACTGAAAAGAATATAAATAAGCAAGTAAGTGGGTATGTGAAATAGAATGTAGTTCATCTCCTGATCTGGAACCGAGAGATTCAGCTGAATCATTCTGTTCTGCTCCCTTCTTCAACGTTTTTTCCCAGGAGATGTTGATAAATACTTCCTCTTTCTGTGCTTTATTTTCCCCTTTATTTTCTCTAATCAAGTCTTCATCATCCTACATACAGTTCAATTTTTTTTTTTTACCTAAATAACTATTTTGGTTCGTAATATTCCCATTGCCCTGCCTCAGAGTTATGAAGAATTTTGTCAGTATTGTTTAACTAGTGTTTACTCTGAAAGAAATGAGGACTTTTACGCTTTCTCCATTAACCACATGCTCTTTTGCATTTGGCTGCTCCAAGTTTTGCATCAGACAGGGTGCCTTTCGATGACACTTGCAGGACTACCTGAGAAAAAAATCTCTACTTTTAGTGAAAGTGACTTTAACTTTCAGACATCTTTTCAACTGCTTATTCTAATTTTTATTCCCAGAATACGATAAATCTCTGGAAGCCTGGATTTATTAGGCTATGGATCTTTCTTTCTTTCTTTGCTTTTTTTTGAGAAGCTTTTTGCTACAGGGTGCGTGCGCTCAACAGAGACACAGACAGAAAGCAAGAAATCACTCCCCAGGGGGGATGGCCATGCCGCAATCCCTTCTCCTCCATTCTCCTCTCGGGATCTTGGGCATGCACGCACACACGCGCCCGGCATGAGTTTAAGCCACAGGGACCGAGACTCGAACCATGGTCGACTACATGGGAGTTCAGCAACATAGCCCTTATGCTAACTGCTGGTTCCTGGATCTTTCTCTTTCCAGGAATCCAGCCCTTTTACTTCTCAAACATATATTTGTAGTGAGAAGGTTTGAGAATCAACTACATCTTTGATGTACAGACATACATATAAAGCTGCTAACAGTAGTTGATTTTAAGTAGTGAGATGTTGAGGTAGCGGTGGAGGTGCCAACATTGGGTGTTTTTAATTTTAAATATTTGTTTAAAGAACCATTTATTTAATTAGTTATCATTATTATTTTTTAATTTGCTACAGAGCACATGCACTCATGAGAGAGAGAGTTCGAGTTCGAGTTCAGAATTAAAAACACATTTGGTCATGTGGAAGTCCAGGGTCTCAATCATCATTCCACATGCTATCTCCAGGCATTTTAATTTTATACACTTCCCTTTTTTGAGTGAGGAGCTTATGACCTTTGTTGCCATTGTTGTTGTTAGAGAGCTCATGCACTTGTCAGAGAGAGACAGAGAGATGGGGAGGGAGGTAGAGGAAAGCAAGAAAGCATCCCCATGGGGAATTGTCATGATGCAGTCTCTTCTCCATTTCTCCCTCCTATTAGGATTTCAGTCACACATGCACAAGTGCTCAGAATATTTCTCAAGCCTTTGGGTCTGGGACTCAAATCATGCAGTCATATGAGATTCAGCTACCTTAACCACCAAGCCATTTTTTATATTTGCATATATTTTAAATTTTATTTTATTTATTTATTTTTTTTCATGGAGTATGTGCACTCACTGAAAAGAGATAGAGACAGTGAAAGGGGAAGTGAGAAATTACTCCCAGGAGGATAGCCATGCTACAGTCCCGTGTCCTCCATTCTCCTCTTAGGATTTTGGACATGCATGCATACAAGCCTGGCATCATTTTCAAGCCACAGGTCTGGGACTCAAATCATGGTCAACCATCTGGCGATTCATCACCTTAACCACCATGACACCTGCTGATTCCATAATTATACATTTTAAAAGCCATAGATCCTTTCTCGTGAAGATATTTTCTTAGGAAGTCTATTAAAAGAGCTTTTATATCTAATGTGTATACACACACACATACACATATATTCTATATTGACAGCTATGGATATGCTCTATTGCTATTAATGTCAAAGAATTCTACTGTATGGATTTACCATACTTTTTTTTTTCAAGAGGTTTTT